GGCTGTCTCCCCTGATGTGCAATGTGAGTCAGGCATGAATGTGAAAAATTTGAATTATCGCCTTAAATGCTGATTTTTCTTTTTCTGTTATTGAGTTGCTGGCCCCTTGAATGTTTTTTCTTTTTATCCTTGAAGGACTGGAACATTTTCTGTATTTAAATGGGCCTGAAAGTAGTCTGCAGCAATGTAATTGTTTTTGTATAATTTTATTTACCACATAACCATCTGCAGCGGGGGTTAAAAAAAAACCTTCAAAGCCCACACAATTGCTGCAGAACTAAAAAGTGAGTTTCTAGGTAATCCTGCTCAGTGGTGCTATCGCACAAAATGGGTTCTACTAACTTCCAATAAAACAAAAAATAAAGCCAGTTTTGATGAGAACTTTGTGGCAAGAAGTTCCAGTGTAAAAATACCATTACTCTCCAATGCTTTTGGTTCTAGAAATCCAAATTTGGTATCCAGAATCCATGATTAAAACTAGACAAGTGATGTTAACTGGAGTTCATCCATAGTATTGAACTTCTAGAATTCAAATTATCTCAAATTGGGGGTGCCCTAAATTTTAAAGCATGGAGAAATAATTTTGTTTATTTAGCTATGTTATTTGTTAAATTGTGTTCTACCTTTCAGAACTGGAAAATTTCCCCAAGTTAACTTACAACACATTAAATACTGATTAATTAAACAACAAAAAATACAGTAAAACCATTATTAAAAATACAATATATAAGCAGAAGAGGTCTTAGCAGATGTTTATGTAGTCTTTAGTCAGTTTTGATTAACTCAAAATCTAAGCATGGTCAACTGTAGTTATGCCTGAATAGTGGAATTACCTAGGAATTTAAGTATTAGTGGCTAGATTGCAAAGTTTAAGAAACATCCTGGGAGAAGGTAATGGGAATTATTTATATAGCATTGTCAAGAAAAATATAAATAGGCATATACATTTGAAATATTATCATTAAATAACTGATAGAGACATTTTCAGAAGTCTACATTTTAACATTTGATCCAGTAGTCTTATTCTGCATTTTATTATTCATGAATTTTTAATATTGTAGAAGACGTAGCAGGACAATGGCTGACAGAGTATTTTTGGAAAATAGAGTGTTTTGAAAACTAAGGTGTATGTGCTGAGTTTAACAGGTGACTGAACCTGTCAGATTTCCATCACATAGCGTGCATTTCCCATTCAGACTGATTTTTCATATGATATCAGTAGATGCATTTATGCATTATCTTGCTGTTTGTTTCCATAGAAACTGATTCAGAAAGGGGGAAAAGGGTAGCAGGAAGGACAAAGGGGAAATATCAATTAAAGTTGTACAATAAATGTAGACCCTAAATGATTAGACATTTCCTGATAGTCTTTATACAGAGAGTTATAGTTTGACTTCTAAAAGAAAAAAGGAAGGAAGGAAGGAAGGAAGGAAGGAAGGAAGGAAGGAAGGAAGGAAGGAAGGAAGGAAGGAAGGAAGGAAGGAAGGAAGAAAGAAGCAATTTGTTATTTGAAATATACCTAGAGTTTCATCCGAGGATTCCTGTGTGACCTTCAAAATAGATGATCATGTACTGGATGAATTCAGATAGTTAATCAAGTGAGAACCAACAACTGGATGAGTTAGTTATCAGTATGTTATTCAGCTAGTAGAGAAGATTGTTCTCATATTTTTAATGAATTGTGAAAGTATAGTATTTATTCTTCTGCTTAGATTTCACAATAATAAGTCATATATCAAGATAGTTCTTGATTATTAGAAACATTATTCCTAACTTGATGGATGAAAGCAGGTCAGAATGCAGCTCAGGACTGATCAAAATATAGTGAGATCATAATCCAATTCATGGCCAGAGGACTGTCAAATTCTAGGTGGTCCTTGTTTAGTGACTATCGGTACCTTTTCCTCTCCTGTAGTGGAAACGGTTAAAGAAAGTATTCAGAAATTTCATGGTCTCTACTCATCTTCCCTGACTTAAATTAGCCTTAATTAGCCTTTAACATATTTTAGATCTAATTTCAGCCTTTAGTGTAATGTTAGGTTACGTTTGGCACAAACACATTCTTGTATCACAGTCAAGAATTTTGTTATGTGTGTGTATAACACATGTGCACGTGCATGTGTGCATGCGGTGGTGAAGAAAAATGGTTTAAGTCATCCACAAGCTGCTGTTAATGTCATAAACATGTTAAGTTGAGGCCAAAGAAATACAGTAGCTTTCATAAATTGGAAAATATTGTGACTCAACAACAGCAAATGAAAACTATATATATGTCACTACCATTGTTTAAACGTTTCATAGTATTGCAGTGGTATAAAATATTGCTGGATGCATGAAATGCTAGAGCAGTGTTTCTCAACTATTAAAAGAAAAAAACTGGGATTAAGGTGATGGATACATTGGTTCGATATCTAAATTAGGCAAATGGCTCTGCAATGAGATTTGTTTACAATTCATTACACTACTATCAAGTGTGTCTTAAACTTTATGCTTCCTCTCATTATGTCATACTTCATAATGTTACTCTAAAGCAGTATTTCTCAACCTTGGCAACCTTAAAATGTGTTTATTTCATCTCCCAGAATTCTAGAGCCAACATGGGTATTCTGAGTAGTGAAGCCAAATATCTTAAAGTTACTAAAGTTGAGAAACACTGCTCTAGCGTTTCATGCATCCAGCAATACTTTATACCAGGCTTGTCCAACCCGCGGCCCACGGGCCGCATGCGGCCCAGGTCGCCTCGTAATGCGGCCCAACGCCCACCCCAACCTTCATGAAAGATCCAGCGAGGAGGAGGAGGAGAGGCAGGCGCGAGGCGGGGCGAGG